GTCAGTGGCACCATCGACGTGGAGCGCGAGCAGGATGTTCAGAGCGCCGTTCTCGACCGGCTCACCGACCAAATGCGCCAAAACAACGTGCGGCAACTCAAGGCGGCCGCACCCCCGCCACCGATAGGGGTCCGAGCCGTAAACCCACCCGAGCCGCGCATTCGAACACAACGATCGTTCATCTCCAAGTCCACGTCCCACCTACCGGCGCCGCCGTCGTTTGATGCCGATATTGAGCTCACACCCGAGGTGTGCCGGCGTCTCGTGGCGCTTCGCGACGATGTCGAGATGCTTCTCGAGCACTACACGAGCCTTCACGCGAAGCACTTGCAGATGCAGGCGCCACCGACGTCGAATGGAGTGCAGACGTCCCATTCCCCCTAAAATGTCGTCGTAAAAGGTTGCACACGGTTTGCCATATCGGTCAGCAACACGATATTTGGTGTGCGTCCCTGCAGCGAGCTTGGACTCCACCGTTGAAGTGTTGCCAGAAACATTTCCCGCTCGAGAACAATTGAATCTCGTCATTTATAGCCTTTGAATGCTGCCGGCCAACGGAAGCTGTCACCGGTCGGTATGAGACCGGCCGCAGACTAAGGCGGTTGTCGGTAAAGTGATCGGGCCGGAATGTGATACCAATACGCGCGATAATTATAGCCGTGACCACGCCACTCGAGCAATTGGCGAGTGGAAACGGCGGCAATACCGGTAGTAGGGTGTTTCAAGACATTGCACGGACGGCTCGAGGCGCCAAGATGCAGTCGAAGGCCATCAAATACTTTGCGCCGACCGAGTCGGCCAAGGTTGCTGTCGCCACCGACGCACCAACACTACCCACGTTCAAGGGCGCCGAAGCCGTTGTTGTCAAGAAGCAGCCGAGCTATACGACGAGCGCGCTCTTGGCGTACAAAGTCGACACGTTCATTTCGACGCGAAGAGGCCAGACCATCACGCTGGTTTCGTTTGGCTCCATGTTTACGATCCTAATCGGCCTTCTCATCGGCGTGATTGAACACGAGCTCACAGTGCCCGATGCGATCTGGAAGGCGTGGATGTACATGACCTTTCCAGGTGCGCAGCACAAGGCCGTGAGCTGGGTTCGGACGAACTGAATGGACCGCGTTGACGCTATGCGTAGGACCATCGGGCAATCGCGATGATCGTTTCGATCATCGGCATTCTCTTCTTTGCCGTCATTCTCGGCTTCGTCGTGGACAGCGTCCGGGAAAAGATGGACTCGCTCAAGAAGGGCAAGAGCAACGTCGTCGAAGAAAATCACACGGTACGCCGCGAGCATGTCGCTGTCGTGTCGTAAGCTCTCTTTTAGCTGCTCTTGGGCTGGACCGACAAGTCCATTTACCTCATCAAAGAACTGTGTCGCGCCAACGAAAGCGAAAAAGGCGGCGTCGTCGTCGTGCTCGCCGAACTTGAAAAGGAGCAACTCGAAGCCGAGATTCACTCGCACATGCACCCGGATGATTTCCTCGGCACGAAGGTCGTCTTTCGAACCGGGAACCCGCTCTTGATTGTCGACCTAAAAAAAGTCTCGGCGCACACGGCACGAAGCATTGTCATCATGGCCACCGTCGGTGACGCCGACAAGTCGGACGCGGCGGTGTTGCGCATCATTTTATCTCTTCTTGGCCTCGACTCGGTAGGACTTTGGGATGGATTTCTTGCATCTCTGAAATTGCACTTCAGCTTCGCGGCCACATTGTTGCCGAAGTTCGTGACATTGACAACGAGCCGCTTATCTCGCTTGTTGGTGGCGGGGCGGTCGAGTCCCTCGTGTCCCACGACGTGATTGGACGACTTGTAATTATGTCGGCGCGGTCCCCAGGCCTCGCCAAAGGTTAACTGTTCGAGGCTCGCGTGGGTCTGACCTTGTGTACCTCTAGTCTTCCGCGCTGTCTTGGGCTTTGAAGGCAACGAATTCTACATCAAGGAGTGGCCAACCTGCGTCAATGTACCGTTCGGCCGGCTGCAAGCCTACTTTGAAGATGCGATTCCGATTGGTGTCGAGACGACTGACGGCGACATCGTCATCAAGCCGGACAAGGGCCGCTCCATGCGTGCGGGTGAAAAGATCATCTTTCTTGCCGAAGACAACGACTCGTACAAGGTGCGCGAGACACCGATCGAGATTCCGTCCTGTCCCGACTACCCGCTCGTCGTGACGGAGCGCCACATCGAGAAGATTCTCATGTGTGGGTGGCGACGCGACATTCGTGACATGATCAAACTCATCGACGACGTTGCAATGCCCGGATCCGAGGTGCACTTGCTGTGCGAGGA